ATTTATATAATATTATTATATATATTTTTTTTCAAATACAGAAGGCGATATGGACAACGGAATTATCGAAGTCGGTGAATGGACTGAAATTGTTAAAAGAGCAAAAGGGTGGCCTTATTCGTAGAGCATAATGTTACAGACGGAAATTGGAGCGCGGTTGAGCAATGCGCGCAGATAAAAATAACACTTCACTCCACGCTCCCTCAATACTATAGATACAATACAAAATATGAAATATAATATAATGTCTTAAGATAATATGTTAAGTACAAAATATATTGTACGAAACAAAATCAACAATAGCCGAATCAGATATGACCGAGAGCGCGGTTGGACGTCAACGCACAGTGGTCTGAGAATGAAATTTAGGTGGCAAAAATAGGCAAAAATTTTTCTAGGATCTCATTAATATATGATTAATAGTGTAAATATAAAATTTCAACTTAATAACATTTTTTGAACTGGAGTTATAGCCAAGTGAACTAAACACATATTGTTTTTTCTGTTATTTTGAAAATAAAAATGCCGATAATTAATTAATTTTTTTTGACTATTAAAATATGTAAAATAAAAAAAAATAAAATGCTTGATTGTTTAGTAACATATAAAGATTATAAAATAAAAATAGTTTTTTTTTTTTTTAAATTTAAGTCCTTAACCGGTTATGAATCATAAAAAAAATCGAACGTTTTTTTTTTCTTCAAAGACTTCAGTTAAAATTCACTCAATTTTACCCTAAACTCAATATATGCATTTTATAGAGAAAGTTCTCAGCTATAAGAATATATAATTTTATATTGCGTCCCGTTGCATTTCCAACGCACAAAAATCATATTGTCATAAAAAAAATGGTGTTTTTTTAAAATTTTAAAATTTGTATAGAAAATTAATTATCTGTATACAATTAAATACAACTAAATAAATATACAATAACAAAATATGTAAAATTGTTATCTACAAGTACTAGACGTGATGAATTGTTTGAGGGGGTAATCAGTAAATATAAAGTTATATTGGGAAATCTGAAGAAGCACAAGAGGCCAGGAATAAGGGCTATACAAATATTCGAGAACACCATACACAGAAAGTCTGTAGAAAACACACCAATAAAGATCACTTTAATATACTACTAATTTCATCTGATCCATATATATCATCGCTGAGAAATTTGCCAAGAAAAAAAACCGAAGAATTTTCTGATGACGTTCTTGCATTAAATATAATAATTAACAACGACGAATATGTTACACTGAAGGATTAATTTTCTGATATAAATATAAGCATTTAAACCAAAACTAATATTTCATAAAATGTCTGATTAAATAAAATACTTGATTTCCCAATATAACTTTATATTTACTGATTACCCCCTCAAACAATTCATCACGTCTAGTACTTAACAATTTTACATATCTGGAATTTTTTATCGGAAAATTATTTTGATAAAAGTTCTTGTTGGAGTTTTATGTTAAAAAATTTTACTGGAAAAGTTCTTGTGAAACAGTTAAACTGGAACTCTTTGAAAAAGTTCAATAACTGTTTCGTATCCTGGTTTATACACTTAAATTTCATTAAATACAGTTTATACCGGCGTACCGAACGGACGTTGTTTGTGTCGCTACGCGTTATCTGTCATCGGTGGGTATTGTAGTTCAAAGCCTTTCACTTTTAGTTAATATTATTTATTTGTACGTAAAACGCGAAGTAGTTATTTATACGCGTGAAAAGTATACTGTATGCTCTAATATTCCCGTGTTTTTGTTGTAGTCCGTCGATATGAATAAATCTCCTACTTCAAAGGCTCTCGTTAGTAACTAAAACAGATTACTCACTTGTTGATATCATGAATACACTTAAAATTATGCGTAATGATATTCAATCTATTAATACCAAATTATTGACTCTAGAAAATACTTCAACGGCTATCTTAACCAGGGTAGATTCTCTCTCGTCAGAAATAGCTTCGTTAAAAAAAGAGAATGAGGAGTTAAAAAAATGTATTTATAATTTAAAGAAAAACCAATTATTGATACCAATCCTTTACCATACGTTGTTAATGACATCTCTGGTTTAGATTTAGTTAAAGAAATTCAAGAAAGAGAAAATAAGTCTCGTAATGTATTATTATTTAATATTAAGGAATCATATGAAGATGAGGCAAGTTTGCTGCTGATCTTATTGAGACGTTACATATTGACGTTTCTATTTCATCAGTTGTTCGACTTGGCAAAAGGTCGAATAAACCAAGACCTGTAGAATCATATTTAATTCTCCTGAATCGATCTTTGCGGTATTAAAGTCTAAAAAAATTACTGTTAAACATTCCACGTTGGAACAACGGATCTCACTTTCCATCAAAGGTCCTGTTTATCAGTCTTAAAAAAAGAACGTGATAGAAGGAACGGGTCGGATGATGGAACTTGGTTCATTAAATACTCTCGTAGTACACCTAAACTCGTTCAAAAAAACTAATTCATGGCTCAAGTATGTCCTGTAGTCATTCGTCATGTAATACCCATAATTTGTCATATGTAAATAATAATTCTAGTTTAATTAAAATCTGTAATACTCTGTCTGGCTATTATCAAAATGTACGTGGTTTAAAATCCAAATTATCCAATGTGCATCACAATTTTGTTTCCTTAAATCATTTTGATTATTTTATTTTAACTGAGACTTGACTAACAAATTATATCAATAGTAATGAATTAGGTATGTCTAACTTCACAATATTTCGTAATGATCGTAATAATTTAAATAGAGTCCATTCCAAAGGAAGGGGCGTTCTTATAGCTATCCATAATCGCTTTTCCCCTAACGCTCTTACTTTATCCAACCCCTCACTTGAAAGTCTAGCTGTATCGTTCAAAACTGTTAATTTTAAAAATATTCTTTTATCTATTTATATTCCTCCGAATAGCCCAATTGATATCTTTAAATGCCACTGTAAAGAAATTGAGAATTTGAGGTTAACATTTCCCGACTATACTTTTATTATAGTTGGCGGTTTTAATTTACCTGATATTAAATGGTCGAATACTAATCATGCTATATTGTCCGGTCTCTCCTCTAATAAGTCTAAAGTTTTAGCAGAGACTATTGCCTTGAACAATTTTTTCAACACAATTTCATAATTAATTACTAAAATAATATATTGGATTTAGTAGTCTCGGATAATAGTAATTTAGAAGCAACAAAGTGCTCTTTTCCTTTAGTTTCTATTGACATAGCTCATCCTCCGCTTCAAGTTAATGGTTCAATTATTGTTTCTAATCTAAAATCAACTACTACGTCCTCAGAATTTAATTTTCGACGGGCTAATTATGAGGCTATGAATTTCCATTTAAATTCTATCGATTGGGATTCTCTTCTATAAGGTACGTTGGATTTCTCAGTTATTGTCTCAAATTTTTATTCAGTTATCCATGATACCATTAATATTTTTATTCCAAAAATTTCCAAACATAAAACTCATTACCCTCATTGGTATAGTAGAGAACTTAAATCTTTGTTATTTAATAAAAAAACGTATACATAAAGAGTTTAAGATTATAAAAGATTATAATATTTATAATGAATTTTCCCGTCTGCGTGCCTTACGTAAAAAATAATCTAAAACAAGTTATTTACGGTAGATACATAAAATCCAGTCTGATCTCACTGTTACATTAAAAGTTTAGAAGTTGATAATGATATACCCGACACTATGGTGTTAAATAATAAATATTCGACTGGTGGGATTTAACCAATGAGAACAAGAGTTTGTCTGCAATCTCAGTTTTGCCGTTTTTCTGATATTCGCCATATAGGCTATCACTATTCTTGGTTTATTCTGTAAGGGTATAGACGGCACTTGATTTATACTCTACTGGTTTACACTGTACTTGGTATAAACTGTACTAGGTTATACTATATTATATAGATTCGCATCGAAGCTTTCGAAAGTGATTAACTGTGCTTGGTTAGAACTGTACTGTTTTAAATACACTTGGTGTGTACTATACTGACATAGACTGTACATGGTTTTTTTTTTTAAATTGTACTTATTTGCCTTATTAACATTAAGGCTTTTATAGTTTTTGTTAAATAATTTTTAAGTTATTAAAGGTTAAAATATAAAACGGCAGGCGGAGTGCTGTAGAGTAAGCACGGTATTTTTATCTACACGCATTACTCTACCGCACTTCACCACCAATCCTACACATTAAACTTATAGCGCAAATAAGTAAAATGATTTAAAAAAAAAAATCTTAAAAATATTCACCAGAACCAAAGTTGCTTAATTATTTGTCAAATCTTTGTGGGACATCCTTTATTACGTAATTAACTACCACGCTCACAAGGTAGAGATCTACAGCTTTTATATCCAATCTACAACTTTTATAACAACACTACAGATTTTATTGTAACACATTTATCCATAGACTAATTCCTAAAAATGTAATACTTTTTTAAGATATGGTAGTATAAAGTTAAAACTTCATTCTTTATAAATAACCAGTTTTTATCTGGAACAAAATGTTAAATAGAGCGGAGACGTTAAAGTATTTGAGATCAATTGTGTAAGTAAAATGAAGAGTAGAATATACGTTAAAAATCAAAATGTTTTTATTAAATTTCTTAAAAAGCTATTAATTCTTTTTTAAATTTTTGTTAGCACTTTGTTTTGCAAATTGCAATAATGAAAGGAATAAAGACAATATATCTTCCCTTTTGTCCTCTTCTCAAAATGCTAGCCAAACTGAAAATTCGTCATTTTTTTTACTTTGAGTCATTGTGAAGTTTCGCGTACCTACATATTACGTTGCTTAAATGCTTGTAATTTTGCTTAATCTATGTTGATATGTTTTTGAAGGATCTTATATTACGTTAAAATATAACCATATTTTAATAATCATCTATTAAATTAAGTACTCCTACAATCTATTCGAGTAGGTAGCTATTTATCTTTGTAACAAGATGTCTCTACTTACACACTTAAACTTAAATATTCGATGTTATAAAAATCAAAAAAAGTATCGGAGTGAGTTCAATGTAAGTTTGACCGCCTACCTACATCAAATGTTATAGTTTTAAGGAGTTATATTTTGTAGTGATACATTTTAATATTATTATACCTACTTGCCACGATGGCTAGACTTTTAATGTTATCGTCTGTGATTTTACTAAGTGCTTACCTAACGGAACAGGTGCATTTTCTTCAACCAGAGTACATCAATAAACTAAATGAAGAAATTTCGACATGGAAGGTAACTAACATACAAATAGTAATAAATAAAAATCCCAATAGTATCGGCCAATATTAAATACAAATTGGTAAATTAAACAATTATATTAAATAAATGTAAGTTATCGGCAGTATGGTTAACAATAAACTGTGCTAAAATAAAATGTTAAACAATTAGCTACAAATTTTCAGTAGTGTACTTATTCAGAAACGTTTTTAGGCAGGAGAAAATTTTCCTCCCGATACTCCTATCGAATATTTAAAAGGGTTATTGGGATCTCGCAGTGTAAAAGCTGCAGCCAAAGGTCCATTCAAGACCCAAGATTCCAACTACAATTCCTTACAGTACATTCCCGAAACTTTCGACGCCAGAAAACAATGGAAGCGTTGTAAAACCATCGGCGTGATTCGCGACCAAGGAAATTGTGGTTCATGTTGGGTAAATACTTGTCGTGAGGACACGCACATGCCTAATAGGTACCTACAATACCTACATCTAAATCTTTATTTATAACAGGCTTTTGGAACTACTGGTGCGTTTTCCGATCGGCTATGCATTGCCACAGACGGTGAATTCAACGAACTGTTGTCAGCCGAAGAACTGACGTTCTGCTGTCATTCGTGTGGCGATGGGTGTGGAGGGGGAGATCCCATTGCGGCGTGGGACTACTTCAGTACGAACGGTATCGTCACCGGCGGTGGCTATGACAGCAAACAGGTAAATAATTATCTAATGAAGTTATATAAAAGCAGTCAAAAGTCGTTTATGACATCAGGAAAGTAGGAAACAAAGGTATCTTACCTGATATTTTCTAAGATTTACAAAAAACAAATTAATAAATGATACAACTTCCGAGCCTTGTGTATAAGGAAACGAACTGAACATTTTTTATAAAATGATTTGATTGAAATTTTATTTGGAAATATTTTGATTAAATTTTATTTCGAAGTTCCATTTAATTAAAAACGTTTATTTTTTTAATTGTTTTTGTCAATTAAAAATGGGCACACAAGAAAGAAGGGTGAGACACTTAAAGTTAATATTGTTTTGTGACTCAAACCCCACTTTAAGATATGAAAGCTAATTGCATTACAAGTTATTGCTGACTAAAATTTGTATTTTCTTGAAGGGATGTCAGCCGTACTTTGTCCCACCTTGTCTACACGGTGTTTCGGCAGAACAAGAAGGTGCTTGTCGGAGTCAACCGATGGAGAAGAACCACAGGTGCACTAAAAAGTGTTACGGAAACACAACAATCGATTACAAAGAAGACCACAGATACAGTAATATATTGTTTATTGTTAACAACATTAATACATCTTCGTTGTAAGTCAACGGATTTTTTCTTTGTTTAATTTTATTATATAGCCAGCGACCTCGGGTACTATCTTGATCAAGACAGCATTCAAGAAGATGTTTTAATTTACGGTCCGGTAGAAGCGTCTTTTGAAGTCTACGACGATTTCGTCAATTACAAATCGGGTAAATGTAGATAAAAAACTTAACTTATGCGCACTTAATTATTATAAAAAAATTATTAGGTGTCTATATAAAATCGGAAAATGCTACGTACTTGGGTGGTCATGCCGTGAAATTGATTGGATGGGGCGTGGAGAAAGAAACTCCATACTGGCTGATGGTGAACTCGTGGAATGAAAACTGGGGAGATCGGGGAACGTTCAAGATCCGAAGAGGAACAAACGAATGTCAAATCGACTCCTGGATGACAGCCGGTGTTCCCGTTACCGACTAAAAAATGACCGATGTGCATATAATATTATTTATATTGTATGATAAATAAATTAATGAATACATAATCATATGTAAAATGATTTCGATAATAAAAGACAACATTTAAATTAAATAGTAAATACAATTGAAATGAATTAAGGCCTAGTAATTTACCAAAAAATTGATAAATAACTTAATGAATACATACTATGTAAAATGGTTTCAATGATGACAACATTTAAATCAAACAGACAATTGTGGTTAAAAAGTAACTGTGAGTCTAGAGTTTAAACGTCCTATTGCTTAAGTGCAACAGCTTAGCATCAAGTTGATACTTACTCTAAGTCTATAGTGAAATGTAAAAGAAGGACGTAAGAAGAAATATTTTACGACCTAAATAACTGTATTATTTTCTAAAATATGTCTTGAAAAATGTTTTGGGTTAAACAGCTTAATCTCTGAAATGCCTAAGTAGGTCCAGTATACGCAATTTCGCATCAAAGTTTTATTAAATGTAATTTATTTATTACGCCGATTACCTTTTGAAATCAAGAAAAATACTAACACATTTTTAACTTTAAATTACGGCACGTGAATCGCGGTAATTTAAAAAAAAGTCGAGTAGCTCTGAATTTGTGTGGGATACTTCTTAGATATAGTATTCAATTTAAATTAAAGTAATTTATAGTTTTACTAATATATGATTTTGAGGAAACCCCATCCACAATAAAAATACTTATAAACGTATAAGCGTATTTCGCGAATAAGTTGACATTTTCATCGTAAACCGCAGTCTATAAGAATATTTTTATTGTGGATAGGGTTTCCTTATAATTAGATATAGTATTATCGATGCACAATGACAACCTTGAAAAATATCATACACCCGTATCCTCAAAAGGAGCAAACATTTTTCTTTATTTCATTTTTTGACCGTAGTTTTAGGACATAAGATCTACATATTATACTGAATTAAATCTAAAGTGGTTTTAATTGTAATAATTTAGTTCTTTGATTTTAGCTTTGATGCGATAGCTGAGAAGGTATTGTATTTACATTGATGGGTTTTTATTATTATTTTTTTTTTATATTTTTGTGTCTGTACTCTATACCCACGATATCTTCTAAGTCACTGAACAAATTTTATCATATCTGTAAGGTATTTTAATAGACAACAATTTTAAAAGTTCATCCCTTCCCCTTTAAAATCGAGAAAAACACCCGAAAAATTTCCATTTTTTTTAACTTAAAGTTACGGCGCTCTATATATTTTTTCAAAATAGTGCAATTAGTTCCAAATTTGTATAGAATATTCTTATGACATAGTACTATCGACAAAAGTTGACAACCTTAACAATTATCGTACACCCTATCTCCTATAATGGATTTTTTCTTTCTTTTGTTTTTTCATGCAAATTTTTAGGGGTTTATGTATGAAAATTAGAGCAAGATCTAGAATGGGGCTATAACATATACAAGTTCCTCAAAAATCTGTTGTCAAATAATTTTTTTTATTAAGGAAAAATAAAAAAAATAGGGGAAAATTACACTTTGACCGCAGTCAGTTTACAGGTTGCTATGTGTGGTTTATACATACTACCCACAGATTCGCATCGAAGCGCTTATTCAAAAGTGATTTTATCAATTTCAGTTATAATAAATTCTGTAGACCTGTGACCTCTCCATCCCCACTACGCCCATACCCCACTGTGCTAGTTTTTTTTCTTCACTTTCTTTAGATTGTTTACTTTACTTTTAATACTATTCGTCCAATTAAAAAAAAATCAAGATGATGATTTTTAAAATTAGGTTTTTCTAAAAATGTTAACAGGCCCCAATTACAATTTTCGAATGAATAATACGAAGATATTAGTGTTTTCATGTGTAGACAAGGTAAGACGGGCAAGATACAATACATCCTGTACAAACTCTGTAATTATTTTAAAAAATCTAAAATTAATAACTTCTTAACTTTGCATCTTAACTTAAATTACCTGTTGTTGCGAAGAGACAGTATTATTCGAAACTCATTTTAGTAACAAATAATTTTTAATATCAACTACCTATTTTGATTTAAACTGTTTTAATCTACTTTAATACTTGATAATTAGTCTTTACTGACATTTACTAATTAAAAATATTAAATATTTTATTATTCACAAAAATCAATAGATTACAATTGTTTTTTAAAGACATAATAGATTATTAGGATAAAAACAATGTATTCCATCTGGATACACTCTAAGTTTATGAAATTTCCAAATGCTAATTCGCGGTAATGATGATTTTTGACATTTTCATGTCTTAGCTCTGGCACATAACCGAAAATATTATAACGAAAATATTGTAACGAAAAATGCGTTACCAAAAAATAAAAGGGGATGAAGATGAGGGGGGTGGGAATGGGAATGGGGTTGGGGGTGGAAATTAGCTGTGGTGCATAACCGAAAAAAGCGTAACGAAAAGTTACGCCCTCAAGAGTCCCGCCCTCACCGACACATATTGTAATAAATAATATCTATAAAAAATAAAGAACAACCGTGATAACGAACATCAGCTTTGTTATTAAAATCACGATACGGCGAGGCACCCGCCATCCGTATCATGTATAATGTAAATCATTGGCGCCTAAATATTTTATTATTGGTTTTTAAATTGAAATGGCCGAATACGTTCAGGTCAATTAATGCCGAAAAAGGTTGCCGCCTATTTTCTTTTGTTTCATTTTTCCCTTATTTTGCAATGTAACGTACATAGAGCGAACGGGTGTAAAGTATTTTGTGAGCCTGCCTCGTCCGGAGAGGAAAACAGGGTTTAACATTTGTTGGTAATTAATTGTATACTTTTTGAATAAACGGCGTCGGAGCCTATTTTTAAGGCTACAGAAAAAGCGCCAGCCCATAACGACATAAGTTAATAAAATCATAAAAAGGTTGTTAATTTATTTTTATGGTAGATACTCTGCCACGCTTTTTATCAACTTTGATTAGATTAGATTTGGTCATTTTTTCCTTGGTAGTGATACAATTAAAAAAATTATTATCTGTTATTTGTTTTATATATTTCAGTTATCTAATAGTTGAACTATAGTTTTTGAAGGGTTTCGTAGAAAACCTTCTAGAAGTATTTCGATTACTCATCGGGTACCTATCAAAGTTCATACCTAATCTTTCAAACACTTTTTGGTTTTCTAATTATTAATCGTATAAATCTATACCTATAAAAAGATACTTCAAAGTACAGTCACGGCAGCGGAACAGTCGTGACATGACCCTGAAGATGGACTCTGCAAAGGGTCCGAAACGTCGGTTAAAAACCATTGATACTTCAAATTACCAAAAGTATTGGGCTTAATTTTTGGTGTCCCTTTAGTTCTTGTAGGGTTTGGTTCCAATTTTCGAAGGAGGTTTCACGCATCTCTGCTCGATCGTTTGAAGTCTAACCTGTTGATAGTTTCAGCCCATCTATCCTTGCGTGATTTAGACAATGATAACAAGAGTTTGTCTGCAATCTCAGATTTGCCGTTTTTCTGATACTCACTAAAAAGGCAATTACTGTACTTGGTTTTTACTGAATTGGTATGTATACTCTACTGGTTTAAACTGTACTAGATTACAGACTCGCATCGAAGCCATCGAAAATGATTGAATCACTTTCAAAATCACTTACTAACTGAACCATAATACTAATTTATAATTAAATTGGTTTATGCTGTACTAGTCCGGACTACACTGACTGAAACTGTGCTTGGTCTAAACTGTGTTTATTCGTGTGAAGTGTTCAATATTTTAAATAAAAATTCAAGTATTTATTCCTAATGTAAGAATAATTATAATGTTGTCAGATTTAAGTATTTAGTTTATTAACAGATACATTATTTGAGTGGTAGATATCGTGATAAACATAGTTCTAGGAATTTGTGCATATAAAACGCATTTAAAGGAAAATATAATTTTGTTATTAAAGGAATAATCTAATAATAATATTATATTATAAATTTTAATTTAAAATGGTTACGGTTGTGCTGGTTAACACTGTGCTTGGTTTGAACTATACTAGTTTAAACTATACTTGGTTTGTATTATACTGATGTAGACTGTAATTGTAATTCACTTTAAAGTTAAATACCTCCCCCCTTGAACCACTATAGTAATTTATAATTGAGATTGGTTTATGCTGTACTTGTTCGGACTGCACTGGCTTAAACTGTGCTTGGTTTAAACATAAATGGTTATGAAAAAACTTAATTTACAATACTTTACAGTTTTAAACTATACTAGTTTGTAATTTACTGGTTACATTTGTGCTGGTTAACACTTTGCTGGGTTTGAACTATACTGGTTAAAATATACTTAGTTTGTACTATACTAATGTAGAATATACTTGTTTTTTTTTTAATAGTTTATACTTATTTGCCTTATAAACATTAAGGCTTTTATAGTTTTTGAAAATTCATCTTTAAGCTATTACAAGTTAAAATATAAAACGGAAGGTGAAGTGCTGTAGAGTAAGCGTGGTAAAAAAATTAAAGTAACCAATCTTATATTACCTACGTTAAAATATAACCAAATTTTAATAATAATCTATCAAATTAAGTACTGCTACAACCAACTCGAGTAGGTAACTTTTTATCTTTGTAACAAGATGACTGTACTTACACACCTACATTTACATATTTGATGTTATATAAATCAAAAAAAGTATCAGAGTTGAGTTTAATGTACGTTTGACCGCCTACCTACACCGAATATTATATTTGTTATTGATACATTTTACTATTAGTATACCTACTTGCAACGATGGCTAGACTTTTGATGTTATCGTCTGTGATTTTGCTTAGTGCTTACCTAACGGAACAGGTACATTTTCTTCAACCAGAGTACATCAATAAACTAAATGAAGAAATATCGACATGGAAGGTAACTAACCCTTAGCTCAGTTTTCACTTAAAATTATTGATATTTTTAGTTTTCCGTTGGAAAACATTTTTGTTAATGTTAAATTACTATATTAGACAATATTTTAATTTTTAATCTTTTGTATTTTCTAGAGATTTATTAACTTTTGAAACTATTGAAACAATAATTCCCTCCCAATATCGTCTGGGAGAGTTTTCCTGTTTTTATTACAAACTATATTGTATATTTTTGTGATGAACTGATTGAGTTTAACAAAGAAAGTTCCACTTAACATAAAATCATGAAAATCATTACAGGACAAATTATTTTTCAGAATTATAATTGCTTTGATAGTAGGTACAAGAAAGCGATTTTTTTTGTCCATCCATAAAACATTAGTGATAGAAAATACTTTTTCAATTGCTGCATTGGTTCCTGGCATTGCTAGAGAATATTCTACAATCTTCCCCCAAAATTGTACTACAATTATTATCCCCGGTAAATACAACAATACTTTTGTGAGATAATTCATGGTTTGTTGAAATTGTATTATATAAGACGACAATATATCCGAAGTTTCTTCTTTCAAATTTGTAAATTCTAGCACTTTTATTTGAACTCCCGTTTTAGGATCGAAATATCGAATAAGAATGAAAATTTTTAAATTCTTATGATTTGAAGTGTCAATCATAATTGTTGCAAAATTAACAGCCTTTAGTTCGTCTGTTATTTGAACCATTGCGAAATGCGGAATTTTTCTGTATGTATATACAGAAAAATTGATTCACGCTTGGTACGCGAACAAGAAAACCTATTTTCAAGGAACTTTTTTATTAAAGTAGTATTAGAATCCATTGACCCAAAAAAATTATTATGTACTATAGTGTGAAATGCAAACATTTCCTTATATGCTGCAATTTTTAAATCCTCGCTAGTTGCGCCAGATGGTCCTTGTTTATTGAAATACGATGTTACCTTGTCACTTTTTGAAGCACTAGATAAGGCCGACAATTGTTATTTCGTTTCTATACGCTGTTTTATACCTGAACGACCTTCGTGCTCGATTAAAAATATTGCCTTGCCAACCGTACAAAACATTTTGTCTATTTCATCACATTTTCTAAGGTAAATTAAATTCATACTGCAAAGGTACAGTAAACATGTATCTCCTCTTTGGCATTTTTAAAAATAATAATATAAATAATAACGGAAATTTAAAAAATAAGTAGCCGGTACGCAGTGGCTATAATGAACTAGATTGCTGTACTGTCCACACCACACACGTTATTCATGATATTTGTCGTTCAAATTTGTATTAACCCGTTTTAAATAACCCGTATTAGATAATCGCCGAATTCAATACATTATGGATATATATTATATACTCATAGTTTATCGGCATCGGTACTCAACGCTCGTTCCACGAAAACTGTTATCTATTTTTTATAACTTTAATATTAAATTTTAAGTATAAAACTGGATTTATATTTATTTCATAATTTTATTGTTTTCTTTTACAAAAAAAATTATAACAAATAATATTGCTATAATGTGTAATCACAAATTAATAAATTAAAAAAATAATAATGATAATAATATGGGAATAACGGGATTAAAACGGGACCATCTTTTAAAAACGGAATAAAAAGCGTCCCGTTTAAGGTTTATAAGGACAAAGGGGCCAAAAAAAATGATGACGAAATATTTTTTTGATGATCAAAAAAAAGACAAATCTGTTTAAAACAGAACGTATAGTAAATAAATGTATGTTTTCACATGTTGACAACAATCTATGTTAAAACAAATGTTAAATAATTAGCTACATTTTTTTCAGTAGTGTACTTAAAACGAAACGTTTTTAGGCAGGAGAAAATTTTCCTCCCGATACTCCTATTGAATATTTAAAAGGGTTATTGGGATCTCACGGTGTAGAAGCTGCAGCCAAAGGTCCATTCAAGACCCAAGATTCCAGCTACAACTCTTTCGAGCATATTCCCGAACATTTTGACGCCAGAAAAAAATGGAAGCGTTGTAAAACCATCGGCGTGATTCGCGACCAAGGAAATTGTGGTTCATGTTGGGTAAGTATTTGTCATGAGGGTACGCACATCCCTAATAGGTACCTACAATACCTCCATCTAAATCTTTATTTTTAACAGGCCTTTAGCACAACTAGTGCGTTTTCCGATCGGCTGTGTATTGCCACAGACGGTGAATTCAACGAACTCTTGTCAGCTGAAGAACTGACGTTCTGCTGTTATAGGTGTGGTTCTGGGTGTCGAGGGGGATTACCCATTATGGCGTGGGACTATTTCAGAAAGAACGGTATCGTCACCGGTGGTGGCTATGGCAGCAAACAGGTAAACTATTGGCTAATTAATAAGTTATCCACTACCAAACCTAGACTAAGAATTCTATTTTTAATTTTAATATTTAATATGTTAAACATTTTTTAGGGTACCCAAAATTAATAATCGAATATGTTAGCATGAAATATACATATATTTTATCAGTTAAAAATTAAGCGTACTACGGTACTAGAGGTCACACTGGAGCAGACATAGGGAGTTTTAGTATGAAATAAAAATAACGATAAATTATAAATACATTTAGTTTTATTTCGAAGTTCCTTTTAACTAAAAACGTTTACTTTTTTAATTGTTTTTGTCAATTAAATTAGACACACGAGAAAGTATAAGGGTGAGACACTAAAAGTTAATTTTATTTTGTGTCTTTAAACTCTCATTAAGATTTGAAAGCTAATTATATTACAAGTTTTTGTTGACTAAAATGTGCATTTTTTTGAAGGGATGTCTGCCATACTTTGTCCCACCTTGTCTTCACGGGGTTTCGGCAGAACAAGAAGGTGCTTGTCGGAGCCAACCGATGGAGAAGAACCACAGGTGCACTAAAAAGTGTTACGGAAACACCACAATCGATTACAAAGAAGACCACAGATACAGTAATATATTATTTATTGTTAACAACAGTAAAACATTTTCGTTGTAATTCGACGGGTTTTTTCTTTGTTAAATATAAATATAGCCAGGAACGCGTACTACCTTAAACCAGACAACATTCAAGAAGACGTTTTGGCTTACGGTCCGGTAGAAGCGACTTTTGAAGTATACGACGATTTCATCAATTACAAATCGGGTAAATGTAGATAAAAAAGTTAACTCATGCGCACTTATTTATTTAAAAAAATGTTTAGGTGTCTATGAAAAATCGGAAAATGCTTCGTACTTGGGAGGTCATGCCGTAAAATTGATCGGATGGGGTGTGGAGAATGAAACTCCATACTGGCTGTTGGTGAACTCGTGGAATAAAAACTGGGGAGATCAGGGAACGTTCAAGATCCGAAGAGGCACAAACGAATGTAGAATCGAGAACTCGATGACAGCCGGTGTGCCCATTACTGACTAAAAGATTAACCCATTTGCATATAATATTACTTATATTGTATGATAAATAACTTAATGTGTACATAATATGTAAAATGGTTAATAATTAAAGACAACATTTAAATCAATCAAACAATTGAAAATTAAGGCTCAGTAAATTACCAAGTGAAAAAATTGAGTACTTGCTAAAAACGTTTTGCAGCATACATACATTCTGACACAATATTCAATGGTTAATTTATTTAGTTTTTTTAATAGTATTTTTTTGCAGTACCAAATGCTGCATTTCTTAGAGTGCATCGATGTCTCGATTTTTGATTACATCATAATTATGATTATTATTCTAGGACTATGATTTATGTGTTGTTTAGGCAGTTAATTATGTTTATTTTATGATATGAGCCAAGGCAATATCTTAAGTGTCGTTCCATGTGAATTTACCTAATGTGTGTGCGACTATTGTTAAAAATAAAAGTTATTCAAAATCACCTTGTGTTCCCTAATTAAACCCTCGATAGTGGTTTCAACATGAAACCCGCCCAGTTAAATTTATAATTAAACGTGCTTTAATTATATATAAAAATAAAATTTCAGCCGATTCTGAGGCCACGAAAGAGCATTTTTATGTTAGTTGAATTACCGAATATATTTCGGCTCTATCCCGTACTCCAAATCTCTTACCCCTATCTTATAACTTCTATTTCTTACCCCTTACCCCCTGTTTGTTTATGGTAACGCCTTTTTGGTAACACTTTTTTGGGTTATGTGCCAGAGCTAAGACATTAAAATGTCAAAAATATTATTTTTATTTTGACCAAAGAAAATTTTTTTCATATTTCTCTTTCGTTTATAAAACACCTAATACAAAACCAAATAATTTAGATACCCTCTCAAAAGATTAATATTCTCACTTGCCTTCTAGTATTTCATTTTTATTAGAACATATCTCTGAAGGACTAAATGGTTTATTTAAATTTCATAGTAAAGGACCAGGTAGGGTAGTTGCAGCTCTGCTTTTTCAATTTCGTGAGGCCTTAAATACTCCACTACTACTCTTATTTAATTAATCACTTTAGCAAGAGATTTTCCCAGCAGTTTGGAAAATAAGCAGTGTCACAACAATTTTTAAGTCAGTTGACCCCACTGATAATAAACCACCGTCCAATTTCCGGGTTACCTCTTATCGGTAAGCTTGTTGAACTCCTGGTTCGCAAGACAATTTATATCAATACTATCTAAGGATCAACACGGTTTTATATCTGTCTGATCTACCATTACTAATATGGTTGACTTCTCCATTTATGTTTTAGATGCATTTGAACTCCATCAACAAGTTGATGTTATATATACAGATCTTTTGAAAGCATTCGACACAGTAGAACACGTTAATCCTTATTTTGGATAAGCTGGGTGTGGGAAATCCATTATTATCATCAATTCAATTATATCTCGGTGGTAGATTTTAATTTGTTGATTTACTTCGGAGAACGTAAAAGTAACATTATGTGAACTTCAAGGTGGACACTTGTCACTATTGTTATTTAACATTTTTAATAATACTATAACGAAGATTATTTGGCCTTGTAAAATACTTTTATTTGCAGACGATGCAAAAATATTTCATAAAATAAAAACTCCGGATGACTGTATGATTGTATCGCAAAATTGTATATATGAACTGGTTGATTGGTGTAAAATGGATGCACTCAATTTAAGCATTAATAAATGCAAGGTAATGACATTTTTCAGAACACATAATAAAATCAATTTTGAAAAAACTTAATTCTTCATAAATAACCTGTTTTTATCAGGAATAAAATGTTAATTAGAGTGGAGACGTTGATGTATTTAAAATCAGTTGTGTAAGTAAACTAAGTAAGAAAGTTGTGTACATAGTTGTGTATAAAAGATAAGTGAAAAATGAAATATTTTTATAAACTTTTTTATAGGTGTTCATATTTTTAAAAAATTTTCTAGCACATTTTTTGCAAATATCCGAAAATTCTGTCATAATAATATAAACATACATTAAAATTGACCGACAAATGCAATTTTTCAACATCAGTCGTTTGCGAAAATTCTGTCGTCTTAGAACACATAATCGTCTCGATAACTTTTATCCATTTGAAAAGTCACAGACCTCAGTTGACACAATATAAAATTAATTTCTGAAGAAATCACTGAACTTTATTAAGTAAAATACATTTTTTGAGTCGACCTAAAATTATAAGTAACTATTATTGTTCATTCATCGTCTAGGCGATTTTTATTTTCCCGTTGTTAGCCTCTCATTGGCCGTGTACGACAAACAGAATATATTGTTATTATTAAAATGTGTACATATGACCACAACACATATGTGACAGAACAACATTTTTTCAGGTTTATATAATACTTACTTGTAAGTTAGTGGATCATGTAATAAAACTTTGATGATGGAGAAATTAGTTTAACACCAGTAATTATTGATCTTCTTTTCTTCTTTGATCTTTAATTTTTTTAAGATAATATAGTAGTTTAAAGTTAAAACTTGATTCTTTATGAATAACCTGTTTTTATCAGAAATAAAATTTGAAATAGAGCGGAGACGTTGAATTATTTGAGACCAATTGTGGAAGAAAACTGAAGAGTAAACTATACGTAAAAAAAAAGTGTTATTATTAAATTTCTTAACAAGTTATTCATTTTATTTAAAAATGTTGTTAGTACTTTATTTTGCAAATTGCAATGGTAAAAAGAATAATAACAAAGTATCTTCTCCTCCTTCCCTTTTCCCTATATACTAGTCAAGAACTGAAAATTCGTTCGAGTTAAAACTAAGTAATATATTTTATTTAAAGATAAAAGGTCAAATAATTGTACTTTGAGTTATTGTGACGTTTCGCGTACATACATATTACGTTGCTTAGGCTTGTAATTTTGTTTAATATATGTTGATATGTTCCTGAAGACTCTTATATATTAAAATATAACCAAATTTTAATAATAATTCATCAAATTAAGTACTGCTACAAACTACTTGAGTAGGTAGCTTTTTATCTTTGTAACAAGATGACTCTACTTACACACCTACATTTAAATATTTGATGTTATATAAATCAAAAAATGTATCAGTGTTGAGCTCAATGTATGTTTGACCGCCTACCTACACCGAATATTATAGTTTTTATTGATACAATTTACTATTAGTCTTTGTTTTTTATTACTACTTGAACGATGGCTAGACTTTTAATGTTATCGTCTGTGATTTTGCTTAGTGCTTACTTAACGGAACAGGTGCATTTTCTTCAACCAGAGTACATCAATAAACTAAATGAAGAAATATCGACATGGGAGGTAACTAACATACGAATAGTAATAATTAAAAATCGTCTAATGATTAACATTTAAAATATATGTACTTGGTGATTCCTTTAAAGCCTCACGCCCAGTTTTCCCTTTAAATAATATATATTTTTTAGTTTTCTTATTGAAAACATTTTTGTTAATGCCAAATTACATAATTATACAATATTTAAAAAAATATTTTTATTTTTTTAGTAATTTTCTAGACATCTATCAACTTTTGAAACTATTGAAACAATAATTCCCTTTCATTATCGACAGGGAGAACTCTCCATTTTTTCTATTTCATTTGCCTTATATAGTAAAAAAAGTTTATATAACTTTGCTTATTTAAATAATTATTTATTTAATTAAAATAATGTAGGTCCCATATTGTTGAATTAGCGTTATTATACAGGTCAACATCAAATAATTATTATACAATTTTAGTTTTTAATTTATTTTCTTATGGTTATATTATAGGGTGACCATTTTTATCAAAAACGGGACAAATAATGTTTGGTTAACACTTTACTCTAAAAAAAAAAGATCTACACATTTTTAAAAATATTTTTAACTTAACAGTTACAAATTACAGTTAAAATAATTTCTTACTAGATAAATAGTTTAATAAAACACTTGTTTGCTCTATTGGGTTGCTGTCGATTGCTTATCATGTCCTTTATTATAACCTATTGTGTCTTTGTGATAAACTGATTGCGTTGGCCGTTGAGTAGTTTTGGTTGTGTTAACAAAAAATAAAACTTTAATTGGAACTCCCGTTTTAGGATCGAATTATCGAATAAGAATGGGGACAATTTATTAACTCTTATATTTTAAAGTGTCAATTATAATTGTCGCAAAATTAACAGCCTTTAGTTCGTCTGTTATTTGATCGATTGCGAAAGGGGCCAATACATTCAGAATAATTGATTCATACTTGGTACGACGCGCACAAGAAAACTTTTTTTCATGTATCTTTTTTATTAAAGTAGTAGTACAATCCATTGACCCAAAAGAATGATTATGTACTATAGTGTGAAATGCAAACATTCCATCTTCTGCTGCAATTTTTAATTCCTTGCTAGTCAAGCCAGATGGTCGTTGTTAAATTAAATATATTGTTACCTTGTCACTTTTTGAAGCAATAGATAAGGCCGACAAGTGTTTTTTTTTTTCATATGCTGTTTTATATCTGAACGAACTCCGTCCTCGATTGAAAATATTGCCTTGCACACCGTACAAAACACTTTGCCTATTTCTTCACATTTTCTAAGGAAAGTAAATTCAGACTGTAAAGATACAGTGACCGAAAAAAAAAATATAACAACTAACAAAAATTATGAAAGAAGGAGCCGATACGCAGTGGAAGATCGCTGCACTGTTCACAACGTACACGTGACTCGCCATATTTTTAGTTCAAATTTGTATAATCGCCGAATTCGTAGCTTGTTTAATCGGTTGTCAGTTTTCGGGAAAAAAAATACGGGTGTTAAACAAAACAATATATTATATATCTATGAAATACTTATAGTTCGTCGTCATCGGCACTCGACGCTTGTTCCACGAAAACTGTTATCTGTTATTTATAACTTAAATTTCAAATTTTAAGTATAAAACTAGTTTTATATTTATTTCATATTTTTATTGTTTTCTTTTACAAAAAAAAATTATAATAAAATAATATTGCTATAATGTGTAATCACAAATTAATAAATTAAAAAAGAATAATATGAAAATAACGGGATTAAAACGGGACCATCTTTTAAAAACGAGATGAAAAGCGTCCCGTTCAAAGTTTGACGGGACATGATTATCAAAAATGGGACAATCCCTTTTTAAACAGGACGTATGGACTCACACTAGGTTATATTCTACTACATACTACTATTCGTAAAAATCCTTTAAAATGTTATAAGTGAGTAGGTAATAAGTAATTATTAATTAGTCTCTTGGTCATCTATCGCCTTACACTTCTAACTACACGGGGTCGGCCAATATTAAATACTAATTGATATAGTTAAACAATAATAATAAAAAAAATAAATGTATGGTTAACATCAAACTGTGTTAACACAAATGTTAAAAAATTAGCTATAATTTTTCAGTAATGTACCTATTACGAAACGTTTTTAGGCAGGAGAAAATTTTCCTCCCGATACTCCTATCGAATATTTAAAAGGGTTATTGGGATCTCACGGTGTAGAAGCTGCAGCCAAAGGTCCATTCAAGACCCATGATTCCAACTACTTTGACTTATACCACATTCCCAAAAATTTCGACGCCAGAAAAAGATGGAAGCGTTGTAAAACCATCGGCGTGATTCGTGACCAAGGAAATTGTGGTTCATGTTGGGTACATATTTGTCATGAGGACACGCACATGTACCTACAATACCTACATCTAAACTTTATTTTTAACAGGCTTTTGGCACTAGTGGTGCGTTTTCCGATCGGCTGTGCATTGCAACAGACGGTGATTTCAACGAACTATTGTCGGCCGAAGATCTGGCGTTCTGCTGTAATTTGTGTGGCTTTGGGTGTCAAGGGGGATATCCCATTTTCGCGTGGGAGCACTTCAGTACAAACGGCATTGTCACTGGTGGAGGCTATGACAGCAAACAGGTAAATTAGTATCTAATAAAGATTTATTTAAAAGCTTAGACTAGTGGCTAATTAATAAGATGTCTACTACCTAACTTAGACTAAAGACTTAGTATTTTTAATTTTAATATTTAATATGCTAAACATTATTAGAGTGACACAAATTAATAATCGAACAGCATATTAAGATGGAATATAGATATATTTTATCAGTTAAAAATTAAGCGTACTATCGCACTAGACGTAATACTGGAGCAGACATGAAGAGTTTTAATTTGAAATAAATTGCATCTAAGTATTGTAAAATATGCAAAATACCATTGCCCAAACGTTCCATTTAATTAAAAACGTTTATTTGTTCAATTGTTTGTGTCAATTAAAATTAGGAACACTCTTTGAAATTCGAAAACTAATTGTATTACAAGTTTTTGCTGACTAAAATTTGGATATTTTTGAAGGGATGTCTGCCATACTTTGTCCCACCTTGTCTTCACGATGTTCCGGCAGAACAAGAAGATTCTTGTCGGAGTCAACCGATGGAGAGCTACCACAGGTGCACTAAAAAGTGTTACGGAAACACAACAATCGATTACAAAGAAGACCACAGATACAGTATTAAATTATTTATTGTTAACAACAGTAAAAAATTTTCGTTGTAATTCGGCGGGTTTTTTCCTTGTTAAATAAAAATATAGCCATCAACGCGTACTTCCTTAGACCAGACAGCATTCAAGAAGAAGTTTTGGTTTACGGTCCGGTAGAAGCGTCTTTTAAAGTCTACGACGATTTTATCAATTACAAATCGGGTAAATGTAGATAAAAAACTTAAATCATGCACACTAATTTATCATAAAAATGATTAGGTGTCTATGTAAAATCGGCAAATGCTACGTACTTGGGAGGTCATTCCGTGAAATTGATCGGATGGGGCGTGGAGAATGAAACTCCATACTGGCTGTTGGTGAACTCGTGGAATGAAAACTGGGGAGATCAGGGAACATTCAAGATCCGAAGAGGCAAAAACGAATGTGGAATCGAATACTCGATGACAGCCGGTGTGCCCGTTACTGACTAAAAAATTACTGATGTGCATATTATAATACTATCTATATTGTATTATAAATAACTTAATAATATATAATATGTAAAATGATTTCAATATTAAATGGTAACATTGAAATCAAACAGACAACTGAAATTAATTACAGCCCAGTGAATTACCAAGGAAAAAAATTGAGTACTCGCTAAAAACGTTTTGCAGCATACGTTCTGACACAATATTCAATGATTAATTTATTCAGTTTTTCTAACAGTATTTTTTCACAGTAACAAATGCAAAATTTCTCCGGGCGCATTGATCTGTCAATTTTTGATTACACCAAAATTATGTTTATTATTCTATGTCTATGATTTTTTTCAGCCTTAAATGTTGCCGCGCTCTGACTTAAGTGTGTTTAAGAACCACGTACCGACAGCATGTCTATTAACATACTCAGCAGAATACAGACTGGTTTGGTTTTCAATTATAATTACAAATATTTTTTTATTATTGCATACCAGACGGTATGTCTTCTAACATAACTGACCAAGTACTACCTGCTTTGTTTAGATTTTGTTTTTAGCTTCGATAGACAATATGGAGCTAAGAAGTTATCATTTTGTAAAAAACACGATAATTTTTTCCCTCTGGACTGAGTTACTCGAGTAGCTCCTGTACAGCTCAGAAATTGTATGCGATTGGTACTTTGGTGTGTCAAAAGTTAAAAACATCAAATCCTTCACCTTCAAAAACCGAAAAGGCAATTGATCGGGTGTACTACGAAGACCACTCGTTTATTTTTTATGAGGTATAAGTTGAATATGAATTCTCATATTTTGTATTTTCGCCGTTAATTAAATTTGATGTTTTAACTAGTTCAACATGAAAATTTTGTATTGCATTTTACTATTTTTGCTCAAGTCAAGGTCAATTCAGTGTAAGTATTTTTTTTTTTTTTTTAAATTTTCAAGTCGGACTTTCAGAGCAAAATGATATGGACAACGGAATTATCGAATTCGGTGTGAATGGACTGAAATTGTTGGAAGAGCAAAAGGGGTGCTCAGCGTGGCTTCACTCGTAGACCACAATGTTATGGACGAGAGTTATGTTATGACAATGATATGGATCGCGGATGAGCAATGCGCGCAAATAAAAATAACATTTCACACCACGCTCCCTCATTACTATAGATACAATACAAAATATGAAATATAATATAATGTCTTAAGATAATATATTAATACATATTAATACAATATAAGTACAAAATATATTGTACGAAACAAAACCAACAATAGCCGAATCAGATGTGACCGAGAGCGCGGTTGAACGTCGGCGTCGATGAACAGACCCGCGGTAAAATACAGATACAGGTTTTCCGATAACAGGTTCTCTTATGGAACTTTTTATCGGAAAATTATTTTGATAAAAGTTCTTGTTGGAGTTTGATGATAAAAAATTTACCTCGAAAAGTTCTTGTGAAACAGTTAAACTGGAACTCTTTGAAAAAGTTCAATAACTGTTTCGTACTCAGTATAATACACTTGAATTTCTTTAAAGATGATAGAAGAATATCAAAATTGAATGTTGCGATCCTGGAATGTTTTCGTTGTTGCTTGTTTGAATTTCTCTTGTTTAATTTTAAAAAATGTTAACAGAAGTTACAAATTAAAGCAGCTGACGAATACAACGTTCAATTTCGTTATTCTAATATATTTTAAAGTAATTTAAGTGTATTTAACAAAATTTTTATTTCTGGAGTTTTTTTTTACAATCAATGTTATTTTGAATTTAATTAAAATTATTACTTTACTTTTTTTTAAAAACAACGAAAAATTACATCTTCCTAAAGTTATAACTCCGGTTTGATTATGAGTGTTTTCCGCAGTTCTATAAGAATCAAACTTCGACAATGTAATGGTGAAAATATTCACCTAAGATTTTAGTGATCATTGTAGTTTTTATTTAAACAAAATTGGTCGAATGGTCTAGATAAAGTTGGATAATAACCGATCGAAAAAATATTTAATAGGTCAAACACTTCAGACACAAATAGTTATATTATATAAAAAAAAAGGATTTTAGATAGTCATATAAACCTATGTTTGAATTTTTCGGTTTGGTACTAAATAAATACTATACATATAAATAATAATATAAATATACATTCAAATTGATCGACAAATGCAATTTTTCAACATCAGTCGTTTGCGAAAATTCTTTCGTCTTAGTACACATAATCCGTTCGATAACTTTTATCCATTTGAAAAGTCACAGACCACAGTTAACACAATATAAAAATATATATTTGAAGAAATCACTGAACTTTATTGAGAAAAATGAATTGTTTGAGTACGACAAACAGAATATATATTGTTATTATTAAAATATGTACATTATTAGACTACAACACATAATATGTGACGCACACAATTTTTTCAGATTTATATAATACTTACTTGTAAGTTAGTGGGTCATGTAATAAAACTTCGATGATGGAGAAATTAGTTTAACAACAGTAATTATTGATAAAAATATCCGATTTCCGATTTTCAATGATTTGCATTAAAACACTTCACAAGGCACTGGCCACTGGTAAGCTAGTTTTTTCACGTTGCCAAGCATTATTGTTAAATCTTCATTCTGTAAATAATCAATACTGTATATGATATTTAAACAAAATGAGTTTAAAAATAATACAGACAATTTTTTCATCTTCAAAATTTATGTAAGTATAATATGTTTTATTCAAATATTTGCAGAAGTCGTTGCAAATTGTAAGCCGTGAACTACAAAATGGTTAATCTAAACTAAGCAAATGTATCATCTATAATTTATTATTTAGTAAATATATATATATATATATATTTTTCAATTAACCACGGGGCTTAGTTTCTTGTAAACAAATTATTTTCATATATGAATAGGTCATATATGAATTAAAATTAGAAAGGAACTAAATTTATAAAAAATAAAAATGTAATCAATATTTTGGTAAACTCTTATAAATTTGTTAGGAAGGAAATAAGCTCTAAACTTATAAGCAACTGAGTTCACTTGAGCCAGTAATGCTGTACAAGTGAACTTTTGAGATTAATATATTATTTTAATTAATATTTATAGCTATATTAATTTCTTAGTTTTTTTTGTTTTTAACTTGTATATTTAATGTCTAAGTAGCATTCAACCCTGCTGATAACAAATGTTTTATATTATTTCGTCCGGCATGCATCAAATATAGGTAGTTATGGTATAGTGTTAACCTAAAGAAAGAATGATTAAAAAATTAATGTAACACTATTAGCTGTTATATTTATTCTTGTTAAGTAATTTGAACTCTCACAAAACAACCTCTCCCAAGCGCATACATACTTTGAAAATTAAATCTACGTAAACTCTATTTTTATAAGATCTACTAATTGTAATAAACTCAATCGTCATGTTTTTTAAATTGTCTGTAATGTATAGATATTTTGAGTTGGCTTTTAAATCTATGAATGATAAGCTAAACTGTTATTATTGTGTATTAATAATATATAATATTATATATTATATAACAATATATAATATTATTAAAACTATTAATTTTAGTGTACAACGAAGCAAACCACTTGGGCTATGCTTAAGGTTGGAATCCAACCATTGCAATACTGCAGAACAGCCGCCTATTAATTTTGAAAATATAAAAACTATGCAAGAAAGTAATAATTATAAAAACGATGTTAAATTTAATACAAATTTATGTAACAACATTAAGCAATTTTAAATATAGTCAGAAAAAATCTTCAAAAAATGATGGGCGTATCTGGAAAGTACGAGAAAGAGGATAGAAGTTGGTTGATAAAGTACTTGCCAAAAACCCAAGAGGAGTTGCCAACCCGCTCCATGAATGTATGCATTTTACAATTTCATCTATAAAAGTGTTTAGAACAACATTCTCTTCAAAATGGTCTTATTGAATCATTTATAATTGTATTGTACATTTTTTTGTTTATTTAAAAAGACAAAAAAATAGACTTTTAACCGATGTATTGAACCAACCAATTTTAAATAAATAAATATCTAATATTGAAATAAGTAGGCAGGTAATACTTATAGTTTAATAAACATCTGATTTCGCGGGCATAAAATATAAGAAGATAATGACCCTAATTTGTAGTTGATGTAGGTATACGACTGAATATAAATTTAATTTTCAAACATTTCATAAATCTGATTCGTTTAAAAAACAATCTAGGTATGTTGTAAAAATTAAACTTTATTATAGAGTTATGCTAATACAGTAAGATTGTATATTGTTTCATTTTATATTTTTTATTTTGTTACTAGTTAAAATTGTAGCTATCGTTCCCTATAATTGAATGAAAAAATTATTATAAAAATAAAATTTGTTATTACCTCAAAAGCTATTATCAGGCTAAAAATACCTCGTGTGACAACATGGTATAACTAGTACTTTATTAAATGTAATTTTATTTCGTCAAAGAGTTAAACGTATAAACATACTATATAAAATATTGAATTATAAAAGTAATATACGATTATTTTTTATAGGACAGTTTTGATATGGCAAAAGTGCCATTGAGTAGTGATATTATGTTACAAAACAGGTATACTACTGCCGAAAACGGTTTAAGACTTGGTAGGCTATTGGAAGATATGGATTCGTTTGCTGGTAAAATATAAGTAATTGACCGCTTATTACATTAAATTTAATATTTCAAAAATACTGTTTCTAGTATGGATTGTATTGAAGCATATTTATGATCCCAAACTTCCAGAAGATATACCAATTCCATATGCCGTTGTAACATTACTAGTTGACGATGTATTCATTGAACCAGATCGATATGTAACTGATATATATATATATATATGTATATAAACATGTTTTAAGTAGATTCAATTTTTTCTACAATTTGTTTATTTGTTTTTAAAGCCTGATAAAGATTTAATATTCAGCGGGTTTGTATCTTATGCTGGAAAAACGTCATTGGAAGTCACTCTGTGGCTGGAACAACTTCAAGAAAATAAATTGAAACGTATCACAAAAGCACATTTCGTATTTGTTGCTAGAGATTCCACAAATACGTCGTCAGTTTTGGTGAACTCGCTTGAACCTAATGGAGAAAAAGAAAAGGATATTCTGCAACATGCATTAAGTACTTTCCGTGACTGTACATCTAAATAAATACCTATTTGATAATTATTTCAGACAAAAGCCGTGGCCATATTAAAAATACAATCATACGACAAGTTAAATTTATTTTATTTAGAAAGAAACGAAGAAAGAAAAAGATTCCGGATTGACTCCATACTAAATAAAGAGCCAATTCCTGAAGAAGAAGCATTGATATACAACACTTTCTTGAAAACTGTCGATGAGACGGAACCAATGTTGGGTAATAAAGTTCTTCCACCAGGAAGTGTATGGATGAATGATACTCAAATCGAAACCAATATTATTTGCCATCCTGAAGTAAATAATAGTTTTTATCGATCAAAATATGAATCTAAATTAACACGTATAATTTAAATTTGTAACTAACAGGATAGAAATTTACATAGTACTGTATTTGGCGGTTTTTTAATGCGTATGGCTACTGAACTGGCTTTCTTAGTGTCGGATGTTCATTGTAAAACACGAGCATTATTAAAAGCAATTAATAGTATAACATTTCGCAATCCTGTTCCAATTGGCAGCAGACTTATATTAATTGGAAAAGTATGTTAATTTACACTAAATTCTAAAACATGCAAAACATTTTATACTGCAATAGTTCTTAGAATTATTTGGAAAACAAAATTTAAAAATAAACAAATACCTACCATAAAAACAATATACATTTTTTAATTAACATTTTATGATAAAAAGTTTTAAATTTGACAGTGGTGAGTAGTAGTTATACACTTTATTTTTTTCTAGATTTGTTTTACCAGGGACAATGTAATAGTAATAGAAGTTTTAGCTAAAGTAGACAGTGCAGAAACAAAAACCAGCAGAACTACAAATTCGTTCTACCATATTTTTGTTGCTGAAAACAATGTTGCTCCTGTGTTACCTCAAAGCTATCACGGTAAAGTTATTCTCCGTATTGAAAATTCTATACTTTGAAGCGCAAAAAAAATGTACACAAACTAAGATACCTTAGTTCGCTCTTTTGAGCTTAATAAAAACAGTAGTTTTTATTGTTGTTAAAAAAGCAAACTATGTTGTATTAAAAACCTACTAGAACAATATACTATAGTAAATACTAATTGGACTATTTGTTTCAGATGCTATGCTTTATCTTGATGGCCGTCGAAGATATTTAGACATAAACAAAAAAATGTCTACATAGGCATTAAATAAATGTGTTATTGTTATCTTGCTAATAAATTATTTTTGGTTTTGTAATAATAAGACAATTCTTTGCAGTAAATAAAAATATTAAACTTTGCTATAATGTGCACTATTAAAAAATATGTTGTATTATATTTTAAAGAATTAGGAGAAGATGAATGCATCGTTGTAAACATAAACAACAGTATTACGATAATCTTTTATAGCTTTACCAACTAGTACTTATGGTTTTTTAATCCTTTAGAACAGTTAGATTCAAAATAATAGTTGAAAGTAGTCTTACCGTTTGACCAACGTGTTCAATTATTTTAATGTTTTATCATGTCGTTCTAAGCTGTTGGCTATACTTAAAAAAAAATAAAAAATATTAGTTTTTTGATACCAATCATTTTGCTTATCTCGTTTAGTCTTATACACCTTCCCCCCTAAAAAAATAAACAAGAAGAACTCGAGTATGTACACTTGAGCCGAATAAGTTAAATAAATGATGTCAGGTAATATTATGTAGACGAGAGGTAATGTGTGATTGAAGTAGTAATTACAGACAAAAAATACTTTTATGCAATAATTTTAACCTAATATTATTTATACAAAACGTGCTATATCATCTAGCAGTCAACAATTTCATAAAACCCTAGTTCCTATTTTTCAAACTGTTCATCTTAGTCGTACTTTTAAGTAATTTAAAGTAATTTAAAAAAAAAATTATTACAATGCATTTTTTTTACTACAAAAGTTAAAAAATGTGTTTTTAAACTATTGATTTATTTATAGCAAATAAAAATTAACATAAATGTCGAGTGGCTTTTGTTTTTGCGACACGCCCCAGCCGTTATTCGGTTACCTCCAAACTATCATGAGATCGAAAACAAACAATTTTATTTATTTATTTATAAATTAGGCCAATTTTAAATCAATACAATTACCAATTATCTATCGAGGAGTACAATTTTGTTGTATTAAAATATTATAGACTTGGTTGTACTTGCCTAAGGTGTACTACATAATGAACAAATAATTCGGTGGTATACGTCATTACTAAATTTGTAGAACGTTTCTGTTTGTATTGATGTGTTTTGTACACTGTTTAAATTTACATAAAAAAATATACTTTAATACACACAGTTCAAGTACATAAGGGAGGGGATTCAGCCCCTAAATCATCTCCTCCTTGTTTTCACTCAAGTCTATCTCAAGTCTTAAGTAATCGGTATCGGCTTTTGCAGACATACCACTTAGATAAGATTTAAATGTTTATTTTTTCATATATTTGATCTTGTTATTTAGATTTTTACTATAAATCAGTTACATTCAGTTATATTCATTAAGTGTCTTATTCCATGCCACATTTTTCTTGCCCATGCTTTTGCAGCATTAGCTCCTTCATTTTTGTCGGGTAAGTGATTTTACGCTTACCTCCTTCAGTAGCTTGTGGTGCTGCTGCTTTGGCTGAGTTTACTATGTTACTAGTCAATTTTTGTACCATTGTTTCCAATATCTGTAGTTATTTTTAGCTGGACTGAAAGAGTTGTAGCCTCTTCTAAAGTGTTTCTAAACCAGCCCCAGCCCGTTTACTTGTTTGTCAAAATACTTTTTGTTTCTTCATTATGACGTTTGAGTTTAATGTGAGGAGCGCAAGGATGTGATCTGATGTTAGGCCAGTCAGACGATGTACTTTTTACTACGAAGAAAACGTAGAATTTTCATCGGGGCAGTGGACCAGTATGTCAGCTCTTTGATGGAAATTAGCTTACCAACTTTTTGAACTAATTGGTCACGTATGTCACTGTATGTGTTTTATTTACACTTTTTTAAAATTGTTTTTGTTAACTTTTACCATGTAACTGTTACTGTTGTATATGCTACACTAGACTTATTTTAAGTCTAATTTTTAAATATTAAGACTAAAATCACTGCATATTGGTAAGTACTATATCTATAGGTTTTTTATTTGTTGAATTTCAGAAATTATCACTTACAAGCTTAAGACATGTACAAAATCGCCACAACACGTATTATACGAGTATATTACAATAAAAATTGTAATTGACTAAAATAAAAATTCAAGAAAAAATATTGTGTAAACCTAATAAATTTGCTTATAATATTGAATTTTTATGTTTCAAAAGATGTTACAAGTATTTTTAAATTTAACTTTTAAATGTATTTTTATTCATTTTTAGGTATACATTACTAGTGATATGCGTAGTACTTTATAATATATGTCATAATGTAAAAAAATACATTTTACAGGGGGATTCTTTTGTTATGGGCCACTCAGTATCTCACTGGGTTTAATTAATAATTAAATCATTTTTTTCATAGTGTTTTTATAATATAACATGATCTAAATTTTCCACAAACTATTATGTTTCTACAATTCTACCCCTCGCTAAACAGTTAACTATTTTTTTTGTTAGCAACTTTTAAAACTTAAATGATAACCTGTTTTGGATAACAATTCTTGAAGTTGTTAAAGTTTCAAGTTTAGGGTAGGAGAAAGCTGAAGTGTAGTATTATTCTTATCTGCGCGCACTTCCCCTCCCGTACTATCTTTTAAACTCCCAAAACTGGTTATCAACCCGTCAACATTTTTAGTAAAATATTCTTAATTTAAAAAATCAAAAAATATATACGTTACCATTTATATTTCAAAAGTTGCTAAAAAAAAACTAGTTTAATAGAGGGGTAATAAAATAGAAACATAATCATTTGTGGAAAATTGAAATCACATTATGTAGAAACAAAATTAAAAAAAAAAAAATCAATTATTAATTAAACCCTGTGAGATATTGAGTGGCCTATAATAAAGGAATCACCCTGTATTATATGCTGATTGTAAATAACTCTACTTATTTGCAATTCAGGTATATTAATAATTATTTTAATACTCGAAAAATTATTAAATATTAAAAAATATTGCACTTACCTATAATATATGCTATACCCGTAAACATAAATGTCTTAACTGCAAACGGAATAAGTTAATAAAATAATAAACTTAAAGTGTCTAACAAGAAACTAATTCAAACATTATTTTCTCTTTCTTCCATGTACGTAATGTGTTAAATATAATACCTACATTTTACCTGAAATATAATACATAGCAACTTGGAAAAGTTGATGAAATCGCCAAAATAAATTATAAATGAGATAAAATTACAGTGGTTTGTTGTGCACAAACACTACGATATTCCATATTTATATGTTGTACCAAAACCCAATATCAGTTTAATTTTTTTTTTTAGGGGAGGGGGCCTCAGGATAATTTATATTTCGTGTATGCTTTACAAATATGTTTCATCTAATGGTAGGTAGATGTTTTATTGAAATTCTTGAAAGATATATCTACAGCGTAACAAAAACAACAAATAGACACGAATAGAGCGATTAGACTAATGAATGTTATCACGTAAATGCATTTCCAAAAGAAATGGTGTTCAACCGAATTTTCTGCTATTTTCTTTTTGCTTTCCACCTTTACCTTATCATTTGACGAAGTCTGAAATTGTGTAAAATAATAAAATTAATTAGGATAATAATAAGGAAGATATTGAGATATTAACATAAATGTTGCAATATCACTGTAATGTACCTCAAAAAATGATTAAATAATATTTATTAAAAAATTGACTTATGAAATTATTTTTAAATCAAATGCAAATTTGAAGCAATAGGCAAACACTCCGTTTCTATATTAGACTTAGTATATTATGTGGTTTTCGACGAAGAATTACGTACTCAATTTTTCACCATGAATAGTTACTATATACTTACTACCTACTCATATACTCGTATTCGTATAAGTGGTGATCCACTTATCGTGAACCACTAAATTTCTCATAGGGTTAAATAAGAAATTAAAATTTTTTTTTTTCATATTGTTTCTATTTAATGTGATCTCAATTGTTCACAATTTTGTTTTTACCCCCTCCCAACTTGGTTTTTTTTAAATGAACTTTGGAAACTTAAATGGTAACGTGTATATTTTATTAACTATTTAAATTGAGAATAATGAACTAATACTTTTGAATGGTCGATAACCAGTTTCAGATAACTATTCTTAAAGTTATAAGAGTTTTGAAGTTAGGATGGGAGGAGAAATGCGGTTGTGAAATGCGCGCACATAAAAATAATACTACACACCACCTACCCTCCTGCCCTAAACTTGAAACTTTAATAATATCAAAAATAGTTATCCGAAACTGGTTATCGACTAGTCAACATTTTGAATACATTATTCTCAATTTAAAAAGTTAGTAAAATATACACGTTCCCATTTAAGTTTCAAAAGTTGCTATCAAAAAAATTAATACAAATATATAAAAAAAAATTGTTATTTCTTATTAAACCCTATGAAATATTGAGTGGTTTACGATAAGTGAATCACCCTGTATGTATACATATACTAATAATAACTAAAAAAAAAGATTGTTTTGTTGTTATACGTATTGTTATTGATAGAAACAATGGTTTAAAGATACATATAAAAATATTTCTAGCCATTGTTTATATTCAAACTTTAAGTCATTGTAATTTGTAATTAAAAAAAGATACTAATTTTAGTTTTTCGAATATTTTTTTTTATTACAAAACTATTAATAACTTTTTAAGTTATGACGATTTAAATGGAAAATGCCGTTTTTTTACATGTTAATCATTAAGGAAAATATGGCTTTATTGGAACCACTTAAAGTTGTCCTAAAAAAATAGAAATAAATCTCGGTCCACTTCCGTTATTAGACGAAAATATTTGATTTAAGTCTCTGATTTTATAATAAAAATTGCAAAAATTTAAAACTGGTCGAATTCGATTTTTTTTGAAAAATAACTTAAAAAACCTCCATTTTTGGGGCAAAAATTAGTGATAAAAATTTCCAAAAAATAAGGGTATAAAGAACTTAAAGAATTTTGAAAAAAAAATTTGAGGAGGTCAGTCCGATAACCGCGTGATTTGACTCAGAATTCTCAGAATTATATATATATAGACAGGGTGGCCCACGGAGATTTGACAAATAAAATAACTTTTGTTCTAGTGAATATTTTTGAGATTTTTTTTTAAAAATAATTTATACTCATTTGCGCAATAAGCACCGTGGTTTTTATTGCATTTACCTGTTTTCCTTTTTTTAATCGTTTTTTTATTTTTTTTATTTTTTTTATTACTTATTTTTATTTTTTTTCAAGATGGCCATTTTGTTCAAAATAAATTTTAAAAAAGAATTTGGATTATTATTCATCCGTTTAAAAGTTATATTCATTTGAAAGTAAGGATGACTGATGACGGGTGTTGGAGTGCGGTAGGTAACGAGCGCTGATAAAAATAAATCTACGTGGTTTACTCTAAATAAAAATATGTAATAAAAAAACTATTAAGAAAAGTAAAACAGGTAAATGCAATAAAAACCACGGTGCTTATTGCGCAAATGAGTATAAATTATTTTTAAAAAAAAATCTCAAAAATATTCACTAGAACAAAAGATTTTTCATTTGTCAAATATTAAGATCAATGATGTTTGTGTATTATTATAATTATTAGCATGCATTGTGTGTTCTTATGGTGTAACGATAAGAGGTGAAAATTGATGTATCACGAAGAAGTTAAGAACACAGGAAGTGAGTAGTGGTCGAGATCACTCTACTAACTTAAAACTTTACCTAAGGATTTTAGGAAAGGTACAAATAATTCATCATTATTTATTACAATAACCAGTCTTAGGTTTTATACTTACTGAATTTATTTCGTTTATATTAATTTGTTTAGTGGTACTGCTGTGGTCGATTTCGTCATGTGTATTGTTGCTTTTTGTAGAACTATTTGCATAACTTTCACTATTTAGGTTACTGGTTTTGTTTAATTGAAGAGAATCCTTAAAATAAATAATAAAAAAACTTAATGGTTAATTATATTTGCTTAAAGAACCACGAGAGTGTTAATGTGGAATTATTGGACTTGGCTTAAAAAGTAAATACACTTTAAAGATCTATAACAAAAGTTTATTTTACCTTAGTAGAAATACCAGTACTTTGAAAATCCTTTTGAGACTCTTTTGTTACTGGCAAAGTGATATTTGGTTTTGTTTTTCCAAAAAGAAAGCAGGATGCTAGAACGTTAAAGTAAGCCAAATAATATAAAAGATTAACCCAAATCATGTTTTAACATAAGTTTTCAATTATCATAATATTTTCAAAAATATAATGTTATTGACATAATATGTGTTACTAAGCAATATCCATCTTTTTTTTGAAAAACAAATATACTTTTTACTATAATATATAAATATTTTAATCCATAATCTCCAACAGTAATCTTCAAAACTAAGCAAATTCTTTCGTAGAATTTTATAGTTTACGATATAATAAATTGTTTTAAATAAATTATGTAAAATACAAATTGAGCCAGATATTATATGATTTCTAAAGCTTAAATGTCAGAAATTATTATTATAACAATTAACACGAATAAAGTGAAAATGTATTTAAAAATGGCTATTAATAAACCGTAAGAAAAAATAAAAGATCAGTATTGCTAAAGAAAGTAGGATTTCAGTGAGGTTTACGAGCTAAGAAATAGCAGACTTGGCAACAATGTAGATAATAATAATTTCGAAGATGATATGGGTGATTCATTTATTTATTTATTTCTACGCCTGACGGTAATTTACAAGAAAAATACTTAAGTGTTAATAAATATTAAAGATAACAATTAAATTATTTAAGTAACAGTTATTAATAATAGTATATGATTAAAAATAGTGAAAGTCAAGCAAATTAATAGTAAAAATATACATATTATCAAATTAAAAACAAAACATTGTGTTTTCCGAGTCTAAGATTTATCTTACACTACATTTGGATTAAAAATCTAGGAGACTGGGGTCCGAGTTCATTATACACATGGTTATTTAGATAGAATCGTATCATACATAGTTAGTTTTACGAGTACTGATTTCGAAAACCTGTTTAGTACGGGACTCAATTCTAGGTACATGAAATGTAACCCCACTGAGTAGACTAAATTATTGATAAATCTAATGCCTAGGATTTGTCTTCTGATTATAAGGCTAGATAAGTTGAAGGTAGCAATTAATGAGCTCAACTTAAGTACTAAAAGATAAATATGACACTTATGTAAATCCTAAATCTTCTACTTGATATACTCGAGGCAAGCATTTGTAAATTAGAATTAAGTAATCAAAATTGATTTTATTATGTGTTTTGAACTCGAAAATTAAAAAAAATTTATAACACTCACCTTGTATGCCAGTAGTTTTATACTTTTGGAGGTCATTTTTTTTATAATTATAGGATCTTTTGGTTTACCTGGTACCCATACAGCATAAGTTGAATTTTTTATAATCAACATTTCTTTTAATATTTTTTCCTTTTGACCTCAAATTATATGTTAATGAAATAATAATTTTAAAAAAATCATAATTTTCCTGTGGTCAAAACAAAAATAATATTTTTTCGATTTATAATTAAAGTACGCTTAATTATAATTTTAACTGTGCAGGCTTAATGTTGGTACCACTATCGAGGGTTAAATTAGGGAACACGAGATGTTTTTGGATGATTTTTTTTTAATCACACAACCTAGGTCCAAAAAAATGCCATAAATTTATTAACAATAGTCGCACACACAATAGGTAATTTCACATGAAACGACCCTTAAGATATTGCTATGGCTAAAAGCATAAATAAACATATAAACTACATGAACAACACATAAATCATGTACATAGAAATCAATGCGCCCTAAGAAATGCTACATTTATTACTGCGAAAAATACTGTTAGAAAAACTGAATAAATTAATCATTGAATATTGTGTGAGAACGCATGCTGCAAAACGTTTGTTTTTAGCGAGTACTCAATTTTTTTACTTGGTATTTGACTGGCCCTTAATTAATTTCAACTGTATTTACTGTTAGATTTAAATGTTGTCATTTATTATTGAAACCATTTTACACATTATGTATTCATTAAGTTATTTATCATACAATATAAATAATATTGTATGCACATTGGTAATTTTTTAGTCAATAACGGGCACACCGGCTGTCATCGATTTGTCGATTCCACATTCGTTTGTGCCTCTTCGGATCTTGAACGTTCCCTGATCTCCCCAGTTTTCATTCCACGAGTTCACCAACAGCCAGTATGGAGTTTCATTTTCTACGCCCCATCCGATCAATTTCACGGCATGACCTCCCAAGAACGAAGCATTTTCCGATTTTATATAGACACCTAATCATTTTTATGATAAATAAATGCACATGATTTAAGTTTTTTTATCTACATTTACCCGATTTGTAATTGTAGAAATCGTCGTAGACTTTAAAAGACGCTTCTACCGGGCCGTAAACCAAAACGTCTTCTTGAATGCTGTCTGGTTTAAGGAAGTACGCGTCGCTAGCTATATTTATATTTAACAAAGAAAAAACCCGTCGAATTACAATGAAAATGTATTACTGTTGTTAACAAAAAATAATATATTACTGTATCTATGGTCTTCTTTAAAATCGATTGTTGTGTTGCCGTAACACTTTTCAACACATCTGTGGTTCATCTCCGTCGGAACATCTTCGTCAAGATAAGGTGGGACATAATATGGCAGACATCCCTTCAAGAAAATGCATTTTGTAGTCAGCAAAAACTTATAATATAATTTCAAAGAGAAGTTGACACAAAATAATATTAACGTTCAGTGTCTCCCTTCTTCTTTCTTATGTACCCAATTTTAATTGACAAAATCAATAGAAAAAATACTCGTTTGTATTTAAATGGTACTTCGAAAATAAATTGTAATAAAAAATGTTTCCAAATAAAATTATAGTCAAATCATTTTATAAACAAATGTTCAAAGCATTTCCTTATAACACGGCTCGGAAGTTGCATCATTTATAATGTTGTTTTGGTAAATCTAAGAACATATCCGGTACCTAGTACCGGATATGTTCTATTTATTGTAAGATACAACTTTGTTTCACAAATTCCTGGTGTCATAAGATATTTTTTTTTTGTATACTTTACAATACCTAGATGCTATTTATTGCACATATTTTTGTATATTAAAGCCCTAAATAATATTTTGTATTAATGTTAGTGCAATAACTTCCGATTCTTGTCTAACAAATATATTTTCACGTTACAAACTACGTTCATTGTGTCTACATTTGGACTAGTGTTCTAATTTGGATTCGAATCTTTGAAGGATTCGAATACCTAATTTTTAAAGATTCAAATTATTCGAATATTCCAAATATGAAGAGTCACTACATTTATTTATAATTTATCGGTAATTAACCTTATAAATCTATCAATAACATATATTTCATATGGAAACATTAGATTTTATTTTTATTTCAAATTAAAACTCCCCATGTGTGCCTCCGTGTGAACTCTAGTACGATTGTACGATTCATTTTTAACTGATAAAATATATCTATATTCCATTCTAACACGTTGATCGATTATTAATTTTGGTTACCTTAATGATGTTTAGCATATAAAATATTAAAATTAAAAATTTTAAGTCATTAGTCTAGGTTTGATAGTGGACATTTTATTAATTAGCCACTAGTTTAAGCATTTATATATCTTCATTAGATACTAGTTTACCTGTTGACTGTCATAGCTACCACCGGTGACGAGACCATTCGTTCTGAAGTACTCCCATGCCCTAATGGGATATCCTCCCCAACACCCATAGCCACACTGAAAACAGCAGAACGTCAGTTCTTCAGCTGACAACAGTTCGTTGAATTCACCGTCTGTGGCAATGCACAGCCGATCGGAAAACGCACTACTAGTGCCCATAGCCTGTTAAAAATAAAGATTTAAATGTAGGTATTGTAGGCATGTGTGTGTCCTCGTGACAAATATTTACCCAACATGAACCACAATTTCCTTGGTCGAGAATCATGCCGATGGTTTTACAACGCTTCCATTTTTTTCTGGCGTCGAAATTTTCGGGAATGTGGAATAAGGAATTGTAGTTTGAATCTTGGGTCTTGAATGGACCTTTAGCTGCCGCTTCTACACCGTGAGATCCCAATAAACCTTTTAAATATTCGATAGGAGTATCGGGAGGAAAATTTTCTCCTGCCTAAAAACGTTTCGTAATAAGTACACTACTGAAAAAATGTAGCTTATTATTTACCATTTGTTAAACACAGTTTGTTGTTCACGATACCGCCGATAACATAAATGTATTTATTTTTTATTATTATTGTTGAATTAAACTAATTAGTATTTTATATTCGTCGATCCCATGTAGTTGGGAGTGTAAGGCGATAGATAAAAAAAAGAGACCATCTAATAATTACCTTTTTACTTATAACATTTTAAATGATTTTCGCAAATAGTAGTATGTAGTAGAATATAACCATAAGAAAATAAATAGAACATTAAAATAATATAATAATTATTTTATGTTGACCTGAATAACGCTAATTCAACAAATTATTGTTTCAATAGTTTTAAAAGTTGATAAATCTTTAGGAAATACTAAAAACATTAAAAATTAAAATATTGTATAATAATGTAATTTGGCATTAACAAAAATGTTTTCAATAAGAAAACTAAAAAATATAAACTATTTAAAGGGAAAACTGGGCGTGAGGCTTTAAAGGAATCACCAAGTACATATATTTTAAATGTTAATCATTAGACGATTTTTAATTATTACTATTCGTATGTTAGTTACCTCCCATGTCGATATTTCTTCATTTAGTTTATTGATGTACTCTGGTTGAAGAAAATGCACCTGTTCCGTTAAGTAAGCACTAAGCAAAATCACAGACGATAACATTAAAAGTCTAGCCATCGTTCAAGTAGTAATAAAAAACAAAGACTAAAAGTAAATTGTATCAATAAAAACTAAAATATTCGGTGTAGGTAGGCGGTCAAACATACATTGAGCTCAACACTGATACATTTTTTGATTTATATAACATCAAATATTTAAATGTAGGTGTGTAAGTACAGACATCTTGTTACAAAGATAAAAAGCTACTTAATCGAGTAGGATGTAGCAGTACTTAATTTGATTGATTATTATTAAAATTTTGTTATATTTTAACATATAAGAGTCTTCAGAAACTTATCAACATAGATTAAGCAAACTTGTAAGCATTAAGAAACGTATTAAGTAGGTTACAATAACTCATAGTACGATTAAAAATTTTGTCTTTTGATCTTCAAATTAATTATTTTACTTAGTTTTAACTCGAACGAATTTTCAGTTCTTGACTACCTAGCATATAGAGAAGAGTACAAAAAGGAAGAAGGGAAAGATACATTGTCATTATTCCTTTTACCATTGCAATTTGCAAAACAAATTGCTAACAAAAATTTAAAAAAATGAATAGCTTTTTAAGAAATTGTATAAAAACACTTTATTTTTACGTCTTCTACTCTTTAGTTTTCTTACACCACTGATATGAAATACTTTAACGTCTCCGCTTCATTTAACATTTTATTCCTGATTAAAACAGGTTATTTATAAAGAATCAAGTTTTAACTTCAAACTATATCTTAAAAAAGTATTACATTTGTAGGAATTAGTCTATGGATAAATATGTTACAATAAAAGCTTTAGTTATCTCTACCTTGTGAGCGTGGTAATTAATTTTGTAATACAGAATGTCTCACAAAGATTTGACAAATTAAATAACTTTTGTTCTGGTGAATATTTTTAAGATTTTTCTTTTCAAAATTTATTTTTATACTCGTAATTAGCGCGGTTTATAATATTCATAACTTTTAGTTTGTTTAATAATTTTCTAATTTTTTTGGTTAATTTATTTTTTTTAAATTTAAGATAGCCATTTTATTAAGAATAATTTGCTGACAATTTTAAATGGTGGACATCCAGTTTTGGATAATTACTTTTAAAGTTATTTAAGTTTAATGTGTAGAATGGAAGCCGTAGTGCGGTAGAGTAATGCGTGTAGATAAAAATACCACGCTTACTCTACAGCACTCCTTCTCCTGTTTTATATTTTAACGTTTAATAGCTTTAAAATAAATTAACCAAAACTATAAAAATCATAATGTTTATAAGGCAAATGAGTACAAATTATTTTTTTTAAAAAAACAAGTACAGTCTATATCAGTATAGTTCAAACCAAGCACAGTGTTAACTAACTCAACTATAACCAGTACACTCCAAACTAGTATAGTTTAAACCTGTTGTAATGAATAAAAAATACGGTAATCGGAAGGGGGTAAAGGTAAGGTGAGTAGATAATTTTTATATGTGTATATAAGTGAGCGGGGTATGCATATGTATTATTATATTAGTCTTCCGCTATACCTCTTTTTATCATTACGTAGTTATTATTATTATAATGTCTTACCTTTGTGTGGAGATCAACATAAAAATCTTGAAAACTCAATATCAGATCTACAAATTTCTTTAGAACAAATTTCAGACTGGTTTACAAAATGAAAACTCGCTCTTAACCCAACTAAGAGCGAAACGAAAATATTTACCTTAAAGAAATATACAAATCCACCTTAATTAAAAATCAAAAATCAGCCTATATTATGGAATTATAAAGATCAATCAATTAAATATCTTGGAGTTTACCTTGATGAAAAATTAACATGGAAAATGCACATAAATAAAAAATTAAACCAAGCCTACACACGATTGAAAATCTTATACCCCCTAATTAATTACAGCTCTACACTTCAGATCAAATGCTCACTTCTAATATACACTTCAATTATAAGACCTTTAATAACATATGCATGCCCTATATGGACAGCCGCATCCCAAACAAAAATTACAAACGATACAAAACAAATTTCTCAGAATAGCTCTTAAAGCCCCATGGTATATGCGAAACACACAACGACACTGGAATACCATACCTAACCACATGGATAAATGAACAATTTAAAAAATTTCATTCGAAACTAAACACAATAGAAGGAGCCCTTCACTTCAAAATTGGGAAAAGAACCAAAAACCGCCGACTAAAGCCACGTCTCCCACAAGATATCTTACTACCTCCAGAATCATCATCGTCATCTTCATCATCGGTATCATCAGATTAATGACCTAATTAAAACAACTCATAATTTATGTACAATTTGCTAAATTAAAATAATTTATAAATTATTTTATTACTCTATTATGCCTACCTAATTATGTAACTTATTAATTAATATATTGTAAAAACAAGATTATGTTGAAACAATTAAAATATAATAAATAAAAAAAAAAACCTTTGTGTGGAGATAATATTTAATTTTTTAGCGTGTGTATTTTATGCTGGTGTGATGCTGTCAAGATGTATTCGACGTTTATTTAATATGAATATATATGTATGTATACGCAACTAAGACCGGTGTATAACCACAGACACTAATAACGTGTTTTATGTGCTCGCGTTATAACGCTACCCTTATTATCAACCTATCTCGACAGAGTACAATTCTATGTACAGTTTTGTAGCGTATATAATAATAATTTAACGCTTACTAGTAGTAGCAACACCAAGAGATTATTATAACAGTCTATACTGCTCGCTGGTTAAATTAACCTCATACAATATAGCCAGGCCAGTTAAATCATTAGAATTGATTTATGTACTTTGGTGATTGGTTCATTAGGATAATAGTTGAATGTAGTAAATAAATAAACAACGGTACTTTTATATTTTAAGTGAATGCGACACGTGTATGATATAGATCTCGTATAAAGGAAATATGTAAAGGATATGTGATGGATATTTAAGAATGTTCATATGAAGCATAAAGGACTATAAATAGATACCCTTTAGGCGTCAACATATGAGCAGGAAAAAGTGCACATCCCACGTCGGACTACTAAAGTAGCTACCCGAACAGGCGTAGATGTGCGAAATAGGAATGGAATAATTAGAGTACTCATCCCACGTCGGACTACAAAAGTAGCTACCCGAACAGGTGTAGATGGTGTTGAAAGTAAAGTTTCAGGCTAAGGAAGGATTACTCACTGGCACTCCTCTGGTCCGGAAGCTGGTTATATGCCTCTCTTTTGGGTCATTAAAGATCGTTAAGAATCGTGTAAGTTCGATCAGATTCGGACAGCGTATCATTAAAAGACAATCCCCTCTTAATTAGTTTATTGTTGTTTTAAGATGTACGGTTCCATGTGTAATAAAGTGTCAAGGAGAATAGATAATTATCCTATGGGATACTATACACACGACGCGCGCTTCGTATATTGCTAATAACATGATAATAATTATTGTATAAAAGTACTGTGTAATATATTTTATTACACTGTAAAGTATAAATCAATTTCCATTTATACTGCCCTCCTAAACAAAAATGGCGTAACTCGAAAAAAAAAATTTAAACCCGTTTAAACAAAATAAAATGGTTTCTTACTAGGTTTAATCGGTTTTTTAATTTTTTTTTTCTAATTACGGCATTTTTGCTTAGGAGGGCAGTATACCAATACAGTATAAACCAAGTACAGTGATAGCCTCTATAGCGAATATCAGAAAAACAACAAAACTAAAATTGCAGACAAACTCTTGTTATCATTGGCCAAATCACGCAAGGATAGATGGGCTGAAACTATGGAAAAATTAAACTTCAAACGATCTAGCAGAGAAGCGAGGAACCTTCTTCGAAAATTGGAACCAAACCCAACAAGAACTACAGGACACTAAAAATTAAGCCCAATACTTTTGGTAATTTGAAGTATCTTTTTATAGATATAGATTTGTACGATTTATAATTAGTAAAACCAAAAAGTGTTTGAAAGATTAGGTATGAACTGTGATAGGTACCCGATGAGTAATCTAAATACTTCTAGAAGGTTTTCTACGAAGCCCTTCAAAAACTATAGTTCAACCATTAGATAACTGAAATATATAAAACAAATAACAGATAATAATTTTTTTAATTGTATCACTACCAAGAAAAAAAAATGACCGAAACCGAATAGTGGAAATGAGCAAAGTTCCGCTGGATAAAAAATCAGTTAGAGAAGTAACTGTGAGCCTAAAGATTAAGAAATCAAATGCAGAAGAAAGGTCCAGGTGGGCAGAGAAGTTCAGAATTAAGAGGTGCAAACTGCATTAAAAAGCGTGAAACATAGTGAAGCGGTAGGATTAGATGGCATTCACCCAGACTTTCTCAAACACTGTGGTCCAAATACAATAAAGTGGCTCTAGAACTTCTTTACTGGCATCCTACACACAGGACGATTACCAAAATATTTTATGTAAAGAGCTATAGACGTATCTCACTTTTCAGCACATGTTATAAACTTCTAGAGAGTTTATTATATAATCGCATTTCAGAAAATATTGACAAGACTTTTCCACAAGCACAGGCAGGTTTAGCCTACGTAGAAAATTCTGTGACCACATAGTTGCGCTCACAAGTCACAACCCATATTGAAAATGGATATAATAACAAGCAAAAAACTGCCGTGGCTATTATATTGACCAATCATCTGCGTACGATACGGTATGGCGGAAAGGGCTGCTATCAAAGTTTCTTGATGTGTTCCCATGTAAGACGCTATACAGTATACACGATGCTTAACAACATGCTTAGTAGTAGAAAAATAATAGTGTACATAAGAGAGGGAAAAAGTAAGATGAGATTACTAAATAACGAGTTACCACAAGGTTCCCCATTATTGTTTAACCTATACACAAAGGATCTCCCTTTAACAAGGTCAAGAAAATGTATGCAGATGATATTACATTGGCCACAAAGAGTAATGTTTTTGAGGATATTGAAAATACATTGACAAGTGTCCTTAGAGAGCTAAACTCATATTTTAAACAATGGAGACTTAAATCTAACACGTCAAAAACTGAAGTGATTGTGTTTCAACTGAATAATAGAATGGTGAGCCATAAAATAAGTGTCCATTTTAATGGGTAGGAAATAAAAAATAGTCAGCACCTTAGGTAATTATAGGC